AGGAATTTAGACAAGGTGCACAGGGCCCAAGGAATCAGTGTTTATGGCGCCCCTGCATGCCAGGCAGAGTCCCTAAGTGGCACAAGCAATTAAATGCTGTTAACCGAAAGGTTGCTGGTTTGAGTCCACCCAGCAGTGACTCAGAAGAAAGGCCTGGTGATCCACTTCTGAAACATCAGCCGCTGAAAACCCCGTGGAGCACAATTCTACTCTGACACAAATGAGGTCACCAAGAGTCAGCTGACTCGATGGCAACTGGTATTTACTGGTTTGTGCCAGGAACTCACAGAGTGGGTTCTATCGTCTCATCTCCACAGCAGCCCTTAGAGATGAGAGGGCTTGGAGAGGCTCCTTAAGGTCACATAGCTTGTACCTGCTCCAGAATGGATTTGAACCAGATCCTTCCAGCTCCAAAATCCTTGTTTTGTTCACTGGACTCTGCCTTCTCGACCAGGAGCCAGGAAGTCTCCAAAGATAGCGGCAGGCCCCGAAACTGAAGTCCAAATTCCTTGTACAGTCTCATACTCACAGTGAATTATCTGAATCCTTGTCTGCCTCCAGGGCTCAGGAAGAGCGTGCACTGAGGGCATTTTAGTTAAGCAGATTTAAAGCGCACACACACTGTTCTCGTGTTGTAGGAGTGCAGGTGACTTAGATTAAGAAATTCCACCTTCTATTCTTACTGTTGGAGCCCTGGTGGTGCAGTGGTTAAAGAGCTCGGCTGCAAACCAAAAGGTCAGCAGTTTGTATCCACCAGCCGCTCCTTGGAAACCCTGTGGGGCAGTTCTACTCTGTACTATAGGGTTGCTATGAGTCGGGATCAGCTTGATGGCAATGGGTTTGCTTTTCATTTGTTTTTATTCTTATTGTAAATATAGTATGGATTTCAGCCGAGCCCTGTTCTGCTGGGAGAATGTTTTTACAGATGGTTCTTTGGGGCCCAGGAGGTATTTTTTGACTCTGACTTACTAACTGTTTGACCTTGGGCAAGTCATTTAACATCTTTGAAACTCCATCATCTCATCTATAAAATGGGAATAATATCTACCCCCCAAAGTTATTGTAAGGAGCCCTGGTGGCACAGTAGTTACTTGCTTGGCGGCTAACTGAAAGACTGGTGATTCTAACCCACCTGCCGCTCCACGGGAGAAAGATGTGGCAGTCTGCTTCCCGAAAGATTTACAGCCTTGGAAACCCTATGGGGCAGTTGTCCTCTGTCCTACCAGGTCCCTATAAGTCGGAGTCAACTTGAAGGCAGTGGGTTTGGTCTTTTTTTTTTTTTTTTTTTGGTTTTAAAGTTGTTGTGGGGACCAAGTGAGTGGATCAGGTCGCTCTCCTGCTTAAAACCATCCAGTGCCCCTCATTGCCCTCAGTGTAATATCCCCAGCCCTTTCCATGGCCTTGTAGGCCTAACTTTGTCCGACCTCTTCCCTCCTCTCTAAACTTGACATGTGTTTTCAGTGGCTGATTTTTCTGAAGCAGATTACTAGGCCTTTCTTCTGAGGCACCTCTGGGTGGATTTGAACCACCAACCTTTTGGTTAGCAGCTGAGTGCTTAACGTTTGCCCCACCCAGGGACTCCTGTCACACAATAAAAAATCCATTGCCATCAGGTCGATTCTGACTCATGGCGACCCCCTGTGCTTCAGAGTAGAACTGCTCTGGACCAGGCAGAGGAATGAGAAATTAAAGGAGCAGAGAGAAAGCAAATGGGGCTGGAGAAGACAGAAGAAGAGGTAGGATATAGGGGATGGAAGGTCCCTGGGTGGAGCAAACAATTTGTACTTGACTACTAACCTAAAGGTTGATGGCTTGAACCTACCCAGCAGCACCACGTAAGAAAGTCCCGGCAATCTGCTTCCATAAAGATTGTTGTGTTAGTTGCCATTGAGTCGATTCCGACTCATGGTGATCCCATGTGTGTAGAGTAGAACAGCTCCATAGGATTTTTAAGGCTGTGACCTTTTGGAGGCAGAGTGCCAGGCCTTACTTCCAAGGTGCCTTTGGGTGGGTTCAAACTGCCAACCAAGAAAACTCTATGGAGCAGTTCTACTCTGTAACACTTGGGGTTGCCATGAATCTGACCTGATGGCAGTGAGTTTGGTTTTGGTTTTTATAGGAGATGGAGTCTGAGAGGCTGGCAGGGGCGAGCCTCAGGGATTTGTGGTCACTCCAAGAGGTTTGGATTTTATTCTGAGTTTGATGGGAAAACCAATGTAGGGTTTAAAGCAGGGGAGGGACATGATCTTATTTATGTTTTGAAAAGATCATCCTGGCACCTGGGTAGAGAACGGAGGGGGATGGAGAATGGAAGCTGAGAAATCATGGTGGCTTGGATCAGGGTGGAAGCAGTGGAGGTGGTGGGAAGTGGCTCTATCCAGAGTATCTTGTGGATGTAGAGTAAAAAGGACCTGCTGATACAAGTGGGAATGGATGAGAGGGCCCAAGAACGACTCCGAGTTTGGGGCTAGTGAACTGTCAGCAGAGAGATGCTTTCCAAAGCCATGGGGAGAGTGAGAGAGAGGTGCTTGGGTGATACAAATGGTTAAGCGTTCAACAACTAGCGGAAAGGTTGGCCTGTGCTCTGCTTCCGGAAGGTCACAGCCTTGAAAACCCTATGGTGCGGTTCTACTCTGCACTCACGGGGTCGCCATAAGTTGGAATTCACTTGACGTCATCCAACAACAACAACATGGGAAGAGTGAGGATAGGGAAGAGAAGCAGGGTGGGCCCTTGAAAACCTCAGCATTCAGAAGGAGCCGGGCAAGGAGGCTGAGGTGGAGGAAAACCAGTTGTCCCCAAAGCCAGAGAAGACAGTATTGCAGACGGGGGGGGGGGGATTGGCTGTGACCAGTGCTGCCGTGGGCTGAAGAAGGTGAGGATGGACCATGGGGTTTGGGAGCATGAAGGGTGATGGTGACAAGAGTCATCTTGGTGAACTTGGGGAATGGAGAGAAAGTGGTATGCAGTGAAGAAAATGTGTTCCATAGTGAGAGTGAGCAGAGAAAGGAGGCACTATCTGGAGGG